TTCACAGCATGACTACAACTCCTCTACACATATACCTTTGCTTGCTGACTGCATATTTGAGGACTGAACATTTTGTTGCTGTGCTGTGATTTAATTTCAGATCTTATTTTCAGTTTTCAAGCTTCTTTCAACTTCTCCTGGTCATCCACATCCACTGGTTGTAAATGCTTTGCTGCCTGAGGTTCCGACTGGTCCAGACATACCCCTGGTCCTCTCCTGTAAATGCCATATTGTGTAGTCATCGTCTTCCCTTGTCCTCAAATCTCCAGACACATTTGTACCAAGTCCATATCGTCTAATGTAAAACAAGAGAATCACTAATCTCATACACATAGCAACAGGAACAGAAGAGATTTAATCCACCACAATTTCAACTGGAGATGGTGTGCTCCTAACCTGGGAAGAAATTGGAAGTTGTCATGCACTGGATCATAAACACATTGCTAATTGATATCCATACACCATTTTCTATACACCTTTGTTCCCTAGTGGGGTCAGAAGGGTTAATTGATATATAAACACAAAAATGAGATACTAGCAAGACACAAAGCAATCAAAAGGATAAACATTTACAAGTTGTCCATTCCAAATGGAAATGCAGTCAAAAAACACAATTTCACAACTGTGGTGTTTCCATTAAATAAGAAACGCAATTAAAATAATGTGAAGAAGTTTATTTATGTGATAAGTCAAAATCATGTAACACTATAAATTACTTAATTAAAAAGTATTCAACCTCCACAGCGTATTAATCATAGTATCTGTTGAATTACTGAGGGCAAATTTGAAGCTTATTTCTGATTGCTCTACATAGTAGACAAACCTTGGTAAAATAAGAGAACAGGCAGTGTCCCCAGCCAGCATGCCTAGGTGGGACCCATGTGGGGACAAGGAGGGCAGACTATATGGGTCCCATATGGGTTTGTCCGCGGGTTCCACGATGGCCCCACATGGGTTTGCCCATGTAGGGCCACAGCCCACATGGGCCCTGCATGGGCCCTAATTGGACAAAACCCATGTGGGCCACCACCATATAGGGCCCATGCAGGGCCCATGTGGGCTCTGGCCCTACATGGGCAAACCCATGTGGGGCCATCGTGGAACCCGCGGACAAACCCATATGGGACCCATATAGTCTGCCCTCCTTGTCCCCACATGGGGCCCACCTAGGCATGCTGGCTGGGTCTTGACTTCCTGGTCTCATGATACACCAACTAAAGTCATTTTAGTGACATTTTACACTGAAAGAAACTCAAGGAGCTGTGACGTTTATCCCAAGTGATTACTGTTTCATAACTAAAACCACATGTAACAGGCAGGAAGGAACATCTGATGCAGCACAGTATCCCACAAATGCAGCAAGAACTGTAGCGTTCTCTGTTTTCAATTATGTTTGTCTTTGCTTCACTGTATACAAACCCCACTGCTAGAAACCATCTGTTCCTGTATTAGCAATACACTGCCCTTCACCATGGATGGTGACCATACATCACACTTTTCTGATTTATTTATCAAAATCACAATCTAAAGTGCAGTACATAGTATCCAAACAAGAAGGTGTTTTATCTCACAGCTTCCAGGTTCAGATTTTCTTTATAAAATCTGATTCTGTAAAACCATCACTTTTCAGAGTTTTGTTGCGCTGCTGCTTGTAGGGATGCATTCAAGGGCAGTGCTACCCTCTGTCATGTTCTATAGTGAATTCTCAGGGTTGTTTGGATGCTACAGAGTTGAAAGTAGTTAGTTTCAGCATTTTTCCACTTTTCTGGAGGTTTGTTTCCAGATTAGAGCAGAAAAACCTATGTCCACTCAAAATGACAATTTTAAACATTTACTTTAGAAAATCACTTGTTAGAATGCATGCTAAGAAGTACATCGCCTTAATGAAATCAGAATTTGAAAACGTTTAAATAAGCATCTCTCAAGATAAAAATGAATGGTATTTTTCTTATGATATAATAATATGCTTTTTAGATTGAAATTTCACAACAAGGCAAATATTTTATTAGTAAGGCTGGAGGAAGTGAGATCATTTCATGCAATATGGTACCAAAGCTGACAAAAGATTCTTGGACATATTAATTTATTCATTTTAAGAAAAGGGGTACTTTAATTAATTCAGTGCAATATTGTTATTAAATTAAATTTAGGTAGACAAAATATGATGACAATTAAAAGAAGAATATTGAAAAACATGTTTTATGTTATAATCCAAGATGGGGGAAAATAAACCAACAATAACAACAAGATCCATCCATTTAGTTACACCCTTGTCCCTAGTGGGGTCATTAGGGTTGCTGGTGCCTCTCTAGTGAATGTTTTGGGCAAGAGGTGGGGTCACCCTGCCAGGTCGCCAGTCCATCACAGGGAGAACATGCAGACTCCATGCAGAAAGACCCCAGGCCGGGAATCAAACCCTGGACCTTCTTGCTGCAAGGCAACAGCTCTACCAACAGCACCACTGTGCAGCCCATAACAACAAGATGCTCCTGTCAATAATTTTAAAGGTAAATATTAATTCAATACAATTAAATTCAAAGATACTTTATTAATTCCAATGGGAAAATAAATGTGGTAACAACTTCAAATAGTTGTTGCAGATGCTGTGGGCAGCCTCTACGTTCTTAGTTCACAGGTTCAGCTGGACAGAGTCAATTCAGCTCATTGGCTCCATCCAGATTCCATCGATCTGATTCTCCTTTTGCTTGAAATCTGTGATCTTCTTCATGTCAGACCATACATCATTGATATTGTTCCTTTACAATTTCTTCTTCTTCTTTCTGTAACATCTTCTTTCTTGCTGCCTCTAATCTTGACTTTTGCTGCTTCTATGTACTCTTCAGTAATTATCTGTCTCCCTCCCTGAAGGCTCTTTTTCAGTGTAACAAAAGCAATAAAATATCCAATGTCTTGTTTCGCTGCCCTCTCCCTGGTAGAGCAGCTGACAAACTGCTGAAACACTGGAAGACGGGAAGAGAGTGGGGCATAATTAAAATCACCATATATTGTCACAAATGCATTGGGGAAATTTTAAAACATGAAAACAAAGCAGGCCAAACAAAATGACTCTGGGTATCAAATAGATCTGCAATTATAGAATCACTCTTATGTCAAATCCTACAATATGTTTAGTGTTTTTTCAGTAGCATAATAAATCCTTTGCTGACATTTTCTAGATTTTATGACCTTGGAATTAATCCTTTTTATACACTTTTTGCACAACATTGCCCTAGGTAACAAATTAATGTCTTCAATTCTGAAGTATAAAGAATTAATTTTGCCAATAAATTGGACCAAAATGAAACAGTAAAAGATAAACAGTTTTTCAGAATGTAGCACACCATATCTGATGGTTTGCGGTAGTTGGTCAGTGCGGAAATCCCAAAGTGTTACGCGGAACCGTGTGGGGGCGGAACCACAGAGATGTTATAGTGTTGGAACGGAGAGCCGGACTCATTTCACCACCGCGCCGCGTTACGTCACACCGGCTTGCATAGGCTGCAGGTTGCAGGATGTGGCTGCTGTCAGTGCTGGTTCCTCTCCTCAGGCTGTATATGTGTGGGATCAAAGTTCTGCTCTACCAAATGTTCAACCGAACCTTTCAGATGCCAGGTCAGATCCAACCTCTGTTTCTCTTTCACGTTTGAACTGCAACAGGAAATGAACTTGTATTGCTGTTTTGACTGTTGTAGATGTTTGAGTTCTGAATGAACCTCTGTTTGTGCTTTTGTGTGTTGAGAACAGCAACAAATAATCCTCAATAGCTGATTACCTAGCTCTTACCCGGCCCCTCAACACCTGCAGAAATGAAACCTCCTGAATGATTCCGAGATGGGAGCTCAGGCAGGACTTCCTGCTTTACAGCATTAACATTATTACACTTTAAAATATAAATGTATATGTTCTGTAAAACTATTGTTGAGAAACAATGGGCAGACTTTCTCACTTTAACTAATGAATCAGTCTAAAATCATCCAAAATTGTTGTGATGGATGGTAATAAGAGTGGAGAATTTAGATTTCTTATTTGAATTTGGATGAAGAGAAAGTCCTCACACGTCCCGGATGGAAACAAAGAAAGAACTGACTGTTCCCTTTATCCCTTGCAAATCTTCCCAAGAATGTCGGCAGCTGAATAGGAATGGGGGGATTTTCCAACCGTTTTACTGTCGTGTAAATTGGATAAAGATTTTAGTTTGATTCATGATTTTGAGCTTGAATGTAAGGTTAGTGAATACATACAGATGATAAAACAAGGGTTTAAATGTTCTGCTGTAAACTTCCAGAACATGTGATCCCACCACGCAGTTTACTTATCTGGGTTTGACCTTTCTAAAAGTTTTAATCCACCATAGAAATTGTAATATGATCAAAACCACTGGATCAACCTCTGATCCATTGGTGTTCCTTACACATTTCACAATCAGACAGAACAAGTGTGCCATAGTGCAACAACACAAAAAGAAGTTGGCTAGCTTCTTACAAACAGATTTACCCATTAGTGGTCAGTACGGGTTCCAACCTGACGGTACTGGTGTCCAGCTGTTTTTTTTTTTTTTTAAATCTAGATAAAACTTTCTTTTGTCAACTTAACTTGGACAGTGAGTGAGAAGTGTACAGTTTCATCCCAATAAAACCCTCAACTTGTTTAGAATAAAGTGGATCTAAAACAGTTTTCTGCACTCTGTGATTTAACTCCATTTCTTTATCTAGAAATGAATGGCTTCTTCTCACATTCTTTTCTTAGCCTTACCCAAGCAAAAGGGAAGGGTTGCCATAGTGACTGGGGGTACCAGAGGAATGGGGTTTGAGACTGCAAGACACCTGGCAAGCCTGGGCATGCATGTCATCATAGGTAGGCTGCTGCCTCACTAAGAAGATGTTCCTTTTGTCAGATCTACCAAACATTATGACTTTGACATGTTTTCCTTCTACTCTAATTCTTGCAAAGCAGAGGCAAGGAGATGACAGCAGTGTGTGAATTTTTTGTGACATCTGTTAAGTTATTTTTTTAGTCTTGCATGCAATGGCCTGTCAGTTAATACATAAATGTGATCAGTTTGATGTCTCAGACAGAAGGGTTTAGTTAAAGTAAACCACATACTGGACATCAGCCCACCAAGCTCCTTTATGATCTCTATGATCTCCAGCTGGGAACGAGCCAGAAGAGGGTGCTGCAGCTGTCAGCAGGATAAATGAAGAATGCTATGAAGGAAAAGGTAATCAACTAAACTACAAATTGTAATAATACATCTACTGCATATTTAAATCATTAGAGTGAAATATAATTTATTTACATTATTACATTATTGAGATATTATAGATTCTTGCTCCTTTACAGATTTCTTCTGTTTTTGCATTTTTTTGGTCTCATTTAAATCCTTCAAAGCATTTTGAGCACCAGAGAAAATAAAAAAATCAGGTTTCAAATATTGATTTTGTATATTAAAGGAAAAAAACTGATACTATTTGATGCCACTTTTGCCTCCCCTTTCTGATTGTTGAATCATAACCTCTCTCTCCTGAGAAAAGTGTGGACTTTAACAAGTACACTGATGCACAGTCCTGCAAAAATCATGGTCCTCTTGAAAGATGCAGACATTTTCCTGAACCACTGCTTTAAGAAAGTGTCTTCTAATAACTGGTTTGGAAGTTGATTTTGAGTCCATCTTCATACCAGTACCGCCTCCACCCTGCTGGCACCTGACGCGAAGTGGATCTCTGTTCCCATTACTGAAGCAGCCACAGGTCCATCCATCTGGTCCCTCAAGACTCACTCTCATCTCATCAGTCCATAAAACTTTTGAAAATTCTGTCTTCAGATCTGTCTTGGTCCAGTGTTGATGCTTCAACTTATGTGTCTTGTTGGATGGGGGTCGGGTTTCAGCTTTCCTTATCTTGGCCATGTCTCTAAACATCTTGTACTTCTAGAACTCCAGGTAGCTGGAAAATAATGGGTTCCTGGTAACTTCACTTTTTATTCTTCTCAAATCTTTGGCAGTTAATTTAAGTCTTTTTTTTCTCAACATGTTTCTTGCAAACCTGTTTACAGCAAAATATTTGATGGTTCTGTTATCACACTCCACCATCTTAGCAGTTTAAAGAATGCTGCATCCTTCTGAAAGACTTTACAGTTTTGGACTTTCAGAGTCTCTTAAATCTCTTTTTTGGCTCATTTTGACTGAGGAACAAAAGCTGCCTAATAATTATGCACACCTTCATTTTGATCTCCTTTGGCACCACCCTCCCTCATCAAACAACTAAACACCAGTTGACATGTTTAAATTCAATAAGCACTCGAGTTTATACAGCTTAGAGTTGGAGAATATGTATAGAAATGATGATATGGTCAAAACTAAAACTTGCCTAATAATTGTGCACACAGTGTATTGTCAGGCAGTGGGAAGGTTTCTCAGTGGTGTCCAGCTCTGTGTGTGTCTTTCATCAGCTCCGTGTAAATCCAGTTATTGCTAGAATCATTTCTAGTCTGGATATTTAATCAGCTCCCCAATAGTGGATCGAACCTTCTGCTTGCTTATTGATTCTCTTGTTAGTGATTGTGATTTCAGCCCAGAATGTTGTACTGGGATCTTAGCTGAGTTCTGTCAGAACTGTGGTTGAGAACTGAAACTAAAACTTTTCTGCTTCCAGCTGAGTTTGTCTTTGTGGACCTGACCTCCCTGAAATCAGTCAGGCACTTTGTGCAGAAGTTCAGAGACAGATCTCTGCCTCTGCATGTTCTCATTAACAACGGTAGGCTCCTCATATCTTTCATTAGATGGTCACCATTAGTGAAAGCAGACGCTTTGTTGTCTGACTCTAAAGACAGCTGTTCCACTTTGACACAGCTGGAACCATGCTGGTTCCTGAGACATGGACAGAGGACGGCTTTGAATTCCACTTCTGCCTGAACTACTTGAGCCACTTCCTGCTGACCAACATGCTGCTGGACCTGCTGAAGACGTCTGGAAGGGAGGGTCGCTGCTCAAGAATTATCAACATGGCCTCTGCCACACACTACGCAGGAGAGATAAACCTGGAGGACCTGAACAAGAGGTGCAACCATGAAACCACCATAGACTCTCTGAGTGGTAAATTGTTTGTTGTACATGATGTTTATTACCTCTTTCCCAACAGAGTGGTCTACAGCTCCCATGGTGCCTACTGCCAAAGCAAGTTGGCCCTGGTCCTCTTCACCTACTACCTTCAAGAGCAGCTGGCGGCTGGAGGATTCTCTGTCACCGTCAATGCTGTGGATCCTGGGATGGTGGACACAGCGCTGTACGATAACCTCTGGACATTAGCACAGATGATGAAGAAACCAGTGGCCGGTATTCTGTTCAGGGTATGTCTTTAAAACCTTAATCGAACTTTGTCAAGACTAGTTTAGAACTGGTTGTACTGTTGTCCTCAGACTCCAGCAGAGGGAGCCTCCATATCGGTGTACGCTGCAGCTGCCTCTGAGATGGAAGGAGTGGGCGGCTGTTACCTGTACAACGGTCAGAAGACTCAGTCCTCTGATCTGTCCTACGACTCTGAGCTGCAGACCAAGCTGTGGAAAAAAAGCTGCGAGCTTGTGGGACTCCAGGCCTGATACCTGGAGTACTCCCATTTCCACAATGTTCCTCCTTTATTAACTATTCACAACTACTTCACCCAACCACGTTGAGGCACTATGACGATTGTCGGAAGTGACACCAGGAGCGACTTTGATTGTTTTCCCAAGTTGTTTTTGCCAATACAGACATGACTTCTACTTGTTCAGAATAAGACATTTTATTTCTGTAGCACTTTTTCAGCAACAAGGCATTTCAAAGTGTCCAGTCAAGTTAATTTGTCTGCAAAAGTAGTAGACCTAATTGTTTTATTCTTCTCATAGATGGCAGTATTTATTAAAGTTGGAAATGGCTAGCTTAGAAATCGGACCACGCCTTCTCCCTCCTGACATGTTTGTTGATTTTTTCCTGAAGTCATGGTACATGACTTATGAAATATGTCGTAAACGGCATTTCCCTTTCACAGTGTCAAAAATCTAGATGCTTATCAGTTTTTTTGGTACATGGTTGACTACATTATGTTTTTCTTGATGGTTACTAATGATTAGAAGCATACATTCTCTGCATAATACAACATTTCATTGCATCTTACTAATACTTCTTACTTACAAAGTGTGTATGAACGTTAATCTTCTTGCACCAAGAGCTGCCAGTCCTTTGAAGCAACACTTGCTATCCATCGCCATCTTGTTTCCTCATCAAAGGTTTACAATCAAATGAAAAGTTTGGTTTGCATCCCAGTCTGTGCAGCACCTGTGTATTGTACAGTGACATCAACTGTGTGATTTCTTTTTTATTTATTTTTCTGGACAATCTCTACAGGAGTCAACTTACACATCAGTTGTTCTGATTTGCATCATGGCCAAGAGCACGGCATCTCGAGCAAAGGGTCAAAGGATCAGAGTGAACTACTGCCAGCTTTAATCTCTGTGGTGATTTTATGCTCAAGTCCTGTTTAATGTGCCTCAAACAAGAAACATTATGCAGAGAAATCAGATATGTACTCTATTTTCACAAGCCAGCAATAATGCAGCTCATGACTTTAACTGACCTAACTTCCAGTGACTTGACCTTTCACTGTAAAACTCTTCAGAGTTTCATACCACTGAGCTTCACAAGCCTTTACAGCCTGTTTTATTCTTCTGAGAACAAGATCCTGTTGCCTTAAGATGACGTCTGCCACGTTGCCTGAACTTTGACACACTTACCTTCATTTTGAATGAAGTTTGCAGACCACTATTTCCACATATGACATCTGAATGTCTCAGCATTTCAGTTTGAACTTTAAGCCTGATAATTGTTTTTTAATTCTATTCTATTTTTGTCAGACTGATGGCATTTGAGTTCAGGATACAGAAAACCTCATGCTGACTCAGTGACTGAACGGTGAAGTTTCTGTGGTTATAATGATGCTTTTTAAAGTTGTTTATATCTGTAAAACTTGCTTCTTCTCCATCCAAACACTAGGAGGCAGCAGGATTTCTGTAGTGCAATTTGAACATTTAAAAACTTAAACCAGACTCTGAAACAGTTAATGTTGACAGATAAAATCATATCAAATGGTTCCCCTTTAGCCTGTAAAGTGCCTTTTTTAAAGTACATGAAAAGTGACTAAATGTTTCTGCAGTTTTGCATAAATCATGTAAGCGAAGCAGCAAGCGTGAACTTTTAGGGTGTGAAGATACTGCATCATGGTGTGGACAGAGAAGACTTTCTTTTTAATTTAACATAATTTGTTTGCAACCTTTTCTGTCGTCTTGATGTCATAGTGAAACATTTGACCAAAACCATTTATCAAAGGTCTTATATTTTCAGCTTTTCCACATTTTTCCCTGTTCCAATTACAAACTTAAATGGATTCCATGTGACAGACCAACAGAATTGTCAAGTGGGAAAAAATAGTTATGCTTTAAAAAACACACACACACACACACAATGAAACGTGTTATTAATATTCTGCTGCAGGTTTTTAATGTGTGTCTCTTCCTGATTTGAGACAAAATGGCTCAGTTTCTGTTAGATATAATGAAGGAGATTCTTTAAACACGTTTGTCCTTTTTGTGTCACAAGTAAAGCCATGACCTACAATGCTGAAGAAAAACACAGCATACTTTTGCAAAGCATTGTATTACTACACAATCCTTTAATAAAGCATTTCTGCTTTGTAAATAGACTTGCACTTTATATTAATCTGTGTTTTTATTGAAAATAAGCAGCAAAGAATAAATTATGTATAGGAAATGTCTCACTGGTTGCTGTTGAGAGTTGAATACACTTCACCTCATCTGCTTATTTTATACTGTGGACATGTATTATTTGCACTGCTGCCAGAGATTCAAAACAATTATTAAATTGCATGTTACTACTCTTGCATGTTGTTTGATACCATGGTTTAGGACACAAGCACATTTTTCTAGTCACGCTAAACCTGTTTAGCTTAGCACAGCTTATAAGTAACTATTTTATGATAACACTATTCAACTTAAAATCATAAATAATTGAACTATTATAAACTGTAAGTTGCAAACTGTTTAAATCTCCCTCTTTTGTGTGTGCATGTGTCTGTGAAAATGAAACATTTCAGCTTCACTCTCAATTGTAATCTCAGGTTCCCCCACTAGATGTCACTGTAGGACAGTATGACTTATTATTGTAATTATCAATAGAGATATGAAACACTTATTCGTCAGAATGTGATCTTCTTCAGTCTCAGCACTGATGTTCCACTGCTGTCCTACACTGACATCTAGTGGGGGAACCTGAGATTACAACTGAGAGTGAAGAGGAAATATTTCATTCATTTTCATATATCATTTATGACAGCAGCAACTTAAATAACTTTTAGAGAAGAAACACAACAGCAGAGTAGATGATTTGTTTTGTTTTCAAATAAAATTTATTTTTTTAATCCAATAGATTTTCTTCAAAACCTCTTCAGAGATAACTCATAAATTCTAACCCAAATTAAATATATATTTTGATCTGTGCTCCCAAAAAGACACATACAGCCCTTTTAAGCATAATTGTAAAACACATCATGTAAACATAAGTTCGAGAGGGCAGCAGAACCCTTAAATCCTTACTCAGAAACATGCATAGATCCTGATCCTGAGGAGCAGTGGCGCAAAAAGGGGGTATGCAGCACATGCAACGCATAGGGGCGCTGCACCAGAGGGGGCGTCAAAACCCCGTCTGGAGGGGGCGGTGCCCCGATATGCCTTCGCATACACTTCACCTCGCGCACATGTAAATGTAAATGTAGCGAGTTTTACCTTTCACGTGTCTTCGTCTGGGGGAGGGGGACGATTTATGTTTTCGCATCCACCTGAATAATATGTAGTTGCGCCCCTGCTGAGGAGCCAAGTGTCTGATCCAGTTTATCGCAGGTGGTGTTGAATTGTCTACAGTAAATGAAGTGCTTTCTGCCTGAAAGATACAGTGTTTTTGTAGGCTGGTTGTGGAAAGTTCCAGGTGAGTTGCTGGTATGTGGAATGAGAAGTTAGTGCAGCGTGTGGGCGAGGCTGATCTCTGACATGACGCAGCATGTTGGTTGATGAATTTCTTCAAGTGGAGCTGTTAGCTCAGAGAAGGGCTGCGTCTCAGTGGAATGCTTAAACAATGTTCAAGCCACAGTTATCATACTACTTTCTGTCTCTATTTTTCCATGGAGGCGCAAATAAAGATTATTCTCCTCTATTCACATCCAAAAACTGAGATTGTGCTCAAAATATGACTGGCAGTACGGCTGGACAATATGACTGAAAAACATATGTGTCAAAATCGATATGTCAATATTCATACTTTTCGATTGGTTTTTTGTTTTACATGTCCAAAATACTGCCAAACTGACCTGTCCTGCTTTGTCCACAATTTCCTCTTGAGCTGTTGTACTCATTTTGTCCTTTCAGAAAATGAGTCCTGGTGAAACACAGCCCCTTGTTTGCCTTTGCTTTGCTTCATACAGATGGTGTAGACTCTCTGCTATTGAGAAACAATTACAATTACTTCCTGGAGGTGTGGGCTCTGTTGAAGTTACAATCGTTTTGCCATGACATATATAATGCACCAGTTCAAAGCATCAGAAATTGCCTGTGCTGTAAACAACCCTCCACTACCACTGCTAAAGCTACAGCCAGAATACAGAGACATGTTGTCATCTTTCACAATTTCTTCTGTTCACTGATTGGCCCAGTAGAAATTCTACTGAAGGAATCCAAGTGAATGAGAGAAAGCCCAAACTGTCTGTGAAGTGAGAATTGAGCAGAATGTGTTTTACAGGAAGGCAAAGGCCAGGCTAGAGGCACGGTGGCAAAACAACAAACTGCTGCTGCACAAATTACTCAACAAGTTATTGCTAGCTTACCAATGAGTGAGCCATTGACCAGCTAACGTCTTTCCTTTGCCTACATCCCCCAGAATGCATTGTTCATTGAAATTATTGGAATATTCTGTTGAATGTATTTTCTGTTGATATTGAGCATGTGTTTGTTTATCACCATTTTTAATGTTAATGATGCCCAGCCCAAGTCAAAGACAAACAGGACACTGTACATTAACTGACACTGTGTCCTTACAACTTTTTACAACTAATTTCTGTAAACAAACATGAGCCTCTCTAAATCCAAAGCATTAGCTGTGAACCAACTTTTCTTTGGCCTAACTTTGGTCAGTTCAGGTCAAAAATGTGCAGGCACACAGAACATACACACCGAACTCAGCGTTACCTAACTCATCAGTGCTAATGAACCCCATGAAATCCAGATTAGCCCTGGTGGCTCCTGCTCCAGGTTGCACACAGAGGCTGTCAGCTGAGGACGGATAAAAGGAAGCAGGCCAACCCAGAGCCGGGTCAGGATGTCACAACTGGTTAATCTGGATTAGTTTTTCAGCTTCTTATGGGTCACTTAAACTTTGGACCGTAACTAAGCAAAACCAGTTAGGATAAAAAGGAAAACCCCATCATAAAACCATAGGACTGAGTTTCATTTGTGTATTCTGCTCTTCATAAAGTAAGAGAACTACCTGATAGTTGTTTATTTAGTTGGGCTATCTGCTCTGTTGAAGTCTGCAGTCAGTTGCTCAACAGCAATGCAAGCTTAAAGAGGTGAGAAGCGGTGCTTCCTGCTTTTCACGACTGGAAATATTTCTATGCAGATGAATCAGATTTTGTTGTATGCAAGGGAGAAATCAGAAGCCTTCTTTCAGCCAGCTGACCAGCAGTGTGAAGCATCAAGGAGTGAGGGAATCAAAGATTCCTGCAAACATGATCAACCCAAATCCATCAGAAGCATCATGTAGCAGACTTGGGCTCAATCGAGGAAATGGGTTTTAGGTCTGGACCTCGAGGGTTTCTCCTCAGATTCATCCAGCTCCCGTTTATCCCGGAAAGAAGTGCTGTGAACGAGCTGGGACGCCCTCTGGCGTATCTTCTGCAGGTTGGGCTTCATCCTGCTAAGCGAAGACCTCCTCCGGACGGGTTTGCTCCTGAGGTGGTCCTCGCCGCCCGTAAGGTCGCTGTCTCCGAGGCTGAGCCGGTGGATGGGTTTCAGGTTGTTCTGAAGGACTTTGGAGAACCTCCAGCGACCTCCAATCCTAGGCTCTGCACCTTTGGATTCAGTGAGTTCATATGCTCCTATGATGTCTCTAATGTCCACACTCACGTTGTTGGTGAGGTAGTGACAGGCCTTCCTCCCACTGTAGTCCCTGATTTCCACGTCTGCGTTATAAGCCCCCACCAGGAGCTTCAGCACCTCCATGTGGCTGTGGATGGCAGCTATGTGCAGCGGCGTGTAGCCCATGTTGGAGCGAACATCCACGCTAATGGGAAGGTTGTGATGTTTGGCAAAGTTGATGATCAGAGCAATCAGCTCTTGCTTGCCATGCTTAGCAGCCCAGTGCAGGCAGGTGAAACCAGTGACAAAGTCCTTCTTCAGGACCAGGTTGGGTTCATTGCTGAGGAGGGCGTGGAGGCTGTCCCACTCTGCATCTGAGGCGCACATCATCCACTCGTGTTCCGCAGGGTCCAGGGTGACGGAGGTCCTGTCCACGTCCAGGCTGGCAGAGCCCAGCGAGGCCGAGTCACCGTCGCTCCTGGGGGTGAGGCAGACGGGGCTGCGGAGTTCTATACTGTTCCTCACTTCAGGAGAACTGTTCATCATCACCTGGATGAAGTGCTTCCGGCTGCCCTTCGGACTGCAGCTGTCCTCGCTGCCAGACAAGTTGCTGCGTTCATCCTCCTTGTCCTCCGAGTCTTGCTTGGTGGAGAGGAACCTCTGCTCAGACGCAAGACCTTGTTGCTCTTCCTCTCTCAGGCCCTCAGGCGTCCAGTCGGTGTGTACGTCAGCTGCAGTTGCAGAACACTCAGGCCCAGGCAGGATGAAGACAGATCCGTCCACAGGGAGCGGCGAAGCCTGAATCACTGTGATTTGTGGAATGGCAAGTTTCGCGACCTTTTCCTTCCTGGAGTCCTTCCTCTGCGTACTGAAGCTCCCAGAGTTCCCCATGTGAGCTGAGCTGCCGGCCACTTCATCCAGAACACCAAGCAAGCCCTGCTGTCCACAGTCCTGCTCCGGTTTGTCCGGCTGGTCGCTCTCTGCAGTGATAATATGCGGAACTCTCCTCCAGTCATTTCCGTAACCTGAGTCGCGCGCTGATTTCTGCTGTACCTGAGCGCTCGCGGCTGCGTCATCGCGGCTCACCTGGTCGTCAGGTGAGGGGGACGGAGGACAGTAACGGAACTGTCTCCTCAGACAGACATGTTTGACTCCGCTGTCTGTCTTCACGAAAGCCACGCTGTCCACGCAAGACTTAAAGATGCTGCGGACAGCAGCCCTGCTGTGCGGCTCCTGTGGGAACGCGGCTTTAAAACGCTCCAGTAGCTCAGGGCTCGTGACGGTGCCTCCTCTCTGCCTCAGAAAGTCCGCTATGGAGTCCTGGCTGAAGCCGCTGGCCATGAGGAACACATTCCCTGGAGCACGAACAGACTGAGAACACCCTGACAGTCAGCGCACCCTGAATCAAACCGATCCTCCAGGCAGCAGAGCAGAAAGCAGCATTTTATCCCCAGCGTTCTCCGCCTCCTAGCAACGGGAGACTTCCGGTCTGGGCCTTATACGGTCAAAAGCAGTTTCCCAATAACAAACTCAAAAATTACTGTGAACTAATTTCGAGGGACGGTTTTTATCTTCAAAAATTGTTTTAGTTTTACTACTGATATAAATCAAAATAAGGACCACTTGTGGGTTCATTTACCTCCGAATGTCTACCAAAATCATTCCATGTTATTTATTCTTCATTTGATTTATTCTAGCACTTAATAGTTTGTTTCGAAATTAATAAGAGAAGTAGGAAACCTTTGGTCTTTCTACCCAAAAACTAAAAAATAAGTTTTATTCTAAAGCAACTGAACGTCTAAAATGTTGATGACCTCATTATAGAATAGATTATTATAGTTTTCACTTAATTTATGTACTGAAACAGAAACGGTTTAATTTTCTGTTTCTGATCTTAAACACATCCTGCTCAGCTCCAAACCAATCTGATACAACTTTATTTATAAGGCACTTTATGTATAAAAATTTGTACTGTAGCATGCTAGATGAATAAAACAAATAAACACATTAAAAACATAATGGACAAAAGTTGCAAACAGGCATATGACATAAAAATAACAAAAAACAGAAATAATTAAAATTAACATCTCAAAGTGTGTCAGATGTCAAGGTGAAAAGATTGATTTAATATTTAGGAAGGTAAGGTAATGCAGGCTTTAACGACATCAAGACATTAAAGCCTGGACAGATTATGTGCCTTTTACTTATTTTAGTATAGACCTGAGAGCTCCATACAAATGAAAAACAATTCCATGTTTTCCAAGTTTAAAGCCAAGTGGGAGCAAATACAAGGAAAAGAGAAGGTGGCCTAGAACTGGAGAACCACGCACAAAGTGGACGGTAATTTTGGACATTAAGCTGAGCCTTATTCCAGTTCAGTAATGACATCAGTGGTTGCAGCAGCTGTTTGTTGGCTGGTTGCTCTGCAGCAACCAGCTATGCTTGCAGGGAGTATTTACATGCAGACAGGGTGTGCTAGCGTTCCTCCTGACACATCTGTGAATCAGTCTTTAGTGGCAGGAAGTCCAGATGGTCCAGTTCTAAACCAAACTGCTTCTCCTCCTGGGTGGAGCTGAACCCTTTTTACAACATTGCTCCTGACTGTCAAAGAACTTTGAAGATATGATTTCCATCTTAGATGTTTTCTAATTTAGACTTTCACAACGACTGTCCAGACTGGTCAGCATTTTACGGCTCATTGACAACAATGAAATTATATAAAAATCTTTAAAAGAAATGAGGAGCAGATAACATGCGTTCTTCAAAGAATCATTCCATTTATTAAAACTATTTTATCAGTCAGATGAGCTCTGGATATATGGAAAACATTGCTTAAGATATTTTAAATCTTTATTCATTCTTTTATTGTGAGGTAGAGGAGCACAACACTTTGTCTCTGGTGCCAATTTACCTAAGCATTGTTCTGGGCTCTGTCACAGCTTTTCAAGCAAAGAGAGCCCTGTTCGCAAAATACATGTTATACAGAGTAAAATGACGTAAGAACATGGTTGGAACACACGATTATAAACTTGTTTTCAAGATTTTTTCATCATTTCATCACTGAAATGACTAAAAGTTGATTCCATGTTTTTCCAGCCTATGGTGCAATTCTAGCAGGATTATATGAGAGAGGTTACACAGTCATTCACAGGAATTTAATCCTGTAATTCCCACTGTACAGATCTAGTTCCTGGGAAAGGTAGCTCAGGCAATTCCTGTCGAGGAATCTGAAACGAAACATTTTCAGTTGGATTTCTGCTTTATTTTAGGCACATGGTTGTTGTGTGCTGCCATCTGATGGTGAGAAACATACTACTAAGCTCAGTGGGTGGTTCTGCAGCCATCAATGTCTGAAACTTGATGGCCACAGTTGTGATAACATAATAAGTAAATGTAAGCAGTAAACGTCCAGTGGAGAAGGGAGGATCACTGAGCCGCCTGTTTCAGAGACTGCAGAGCAGGAAGTATGTCGTCCAGGTGACTCACACCTGCAACACACAGAGAGCCATGTCAACAGATCATGCAGAGGAAAGGAGACCATGTAGTCATCCTAAAGTTTGACTGTAGTAAAGCAAAGATACCAAGTATCTTTAAGATTTCTGTCACGAGGTTGTGGAAAGCAGGGAAAAACTCATCATGTTGCTTCACTTTGATAATGATGCTGAAAAACAAAAGCAGACAACAGAAAAGCAGCTTCATGAAGACCAGCACAGAACCTGTAACAAGAAAAAACTAAGTGCTGCTGGTGGGATAATGAACCTGTCAATGTCTGCCCGTCCCAGTCCTGGATCCAAGGAGACCAGCCTGGAGACCTGGTCCACAACTTCAGTAGGAGAAGCTTTGCTGTCTAACATCCCATGGAAAGGTTAGCAAGGCTTTATGTGAAACATGGACAACTGAAGCTAATTTTTGAAAGTCACCTAGGTCCAGAACATTTTGGAGGTTCCTCATGGTGTTGGTCATCTCTCCCAGTCGGGTGTAGACCTCGTTCATTCGAGGGTAAACTCCGCTGAGGGACGGAACGTCAAACAGTTTCTGGAAGTGAGCCACCATGGAAGCCAAGGTGTATCGAGTGGGACTCCTGAGCTTCTGGCAGGACAAGCATGAAGACTTCAGCACCAGGAACAAAAAGCTGAGTTCTAATCTCAGAAAAGTAAAGATTAACCTGTTTATCGTCAGAAGAGGCATTCTCCAGCAGCGCCTCCACCAGCAGCATCATGTCCTCCACCTTAAGTGTTTTTGCATCAACATCACAGGGCTGCAGTGGCATCAGTGTGGCACTCAGTTTATTCAGTCGGCTATGAAGATCCTGAACACAGGAACACTCTGGTCAAAGCAGCTTCCAGCACTGAGTAAATACCGAGGCTGTCTGAGTATTTACCCTGAGCATGTGGAGCTGCTGGGACCACTGCTCCAGAGTGGGAAGGACAGCCTGGAATTCTGCTTCCTCCGATTCCCTGGGCCAGCGTTGATACTGCTGCAGCCTGGGATTGATAACGAGCGTGTTGATCTCAGTCAACAGCTGAAGAGCAGAAAAATTGGAACAAAGCGTTAACAGACAGGAAGTTACCACAAACTAATCTGCTCAGAGGAAAGCTGACTTACGTGGTGATACTGGACCCGTTGCCTGGAGGTTTTGGACTGCTCCATGGTGCTCCCAGTGAGGTCACTTCTACATCTAATCAGTGCAAAAAAGCAGATTTCTTCAAAACAAAACTACTTCCTGTTTCAGTACTGAGCTTTAGATAAATCCTTCAGTCAAACACATTTTGAATCAATCAAAAGTTGCAGTGGAAAGTAAATTATTGATGACATTTGCAGATTTTTCCATAGAGCTTATTGAATATATAGACAATGTAGCTTGGAAAGCTGAAATACCTCGGCACAATGCTCCTTGATATGCTATTGGCTGGCATTTGCAAAGCAGCTAATGCAGAAGCATCATTTATTTTCCTTGGCACTGATTGGCAGAGATAACGAAGCCCGTAGTGTTAGCTTCTGCTGTCAAGCCATGATGCCTTACACTTTGCAGATTACTGCACATTAAGTATTAATACGGAAAGTTGTGTGTGTTAGTGTGTTTATTTGTTGCTTGAACTATTGGAATAGATATTCATAAATGTGATTCCTAACCTCTGTGAATAGTGTAATACCTTTACATGACCCATTTGGCCTATTAAGGTATTATTCCACCCTATTTAGAGATATCAATCTTATCTGGTGTCTCTTTTCTTGGCCTAAACACACAAACAGTCACATGAAGTTTAGTTCAAAACCATCTCTGGTGACAAACACACCTTGTGTCCAGTTCCGACTTGAGCCGTTCCACCTCTTCCTCCAACTCCTGTATGTGAGAGCTGCTTTCCTTCTGCTGGTCCTGATGTGTCTGGGCACAAGCCGAGGAATCAGACCTGCTTTAAGAACACAACCTGAACAACAAGAACGGCTTAGAGAAATACCTTGAGGATGGTTTTGAAAGACGGGCAGACGGAGGCAGAGGTCCTCTTTGTAGCTTGATCCAAATGTTTGGACTCCTGTAATCGACTCTGTCGAGTCAGTCGCTGTTCCTCTTCTTTGACAGTCAAATACAGTTTCTTCCTGAGCTGTGCTGTTTCTTCCTCCAGACTGACTACTTTCTTCTCCAGCAACAGATATCTCCTCTACAAACAAACAGTGGTGTCATCCCAACTGCCAACTCTCACAGCTGAGTAAATGAAAAGACGACTTTGGACGTGTGAGTAGACCTGTCGCATCAATTAACTGCATGATAAATTAAAACGAGCTCAATAATTTCCATTTTCATAATTTATCCATTTTCTCTTTTGTCTCTCTTTCTACCAAAACTGGATAACAAAAGCCTTAACTAGCCTTTTTTTAGAAGCACAATTTTGTTTGCAAAAACTTCATCACTCATTTGATTTGTTGTTTATTTTGTTTATTTATTTTGGATATTTGAAAATGCTTCCAGTTTCAGTCTTAAATGTTGATTAGAATTTAAAGTTTATTTATCTTCAAAAGGCATTCTTGCATTATTATGCCATTGCAATAATATTATTTCAAAATGGCCTCAAAACAACAATATTATCATTTATTGCAAAAACATCTGGGACAACTTAACGTCCAGCAAAGTGTTTTATTGTGACCCACTTGTGTGCAAAAGTTCAGTTTTGTTTCTCCTTTCACCAGATAAGCAGCTTGTCAGTTCATGTTTTATGTAATTATAAAATTTTCTGAGATGCAGAACTTTGAGATTTCTTTCTTTGCAACTAGTCTTAACCATCAAAATTACAAGAAATACAAACTTAACATGTCACTGTGTGGAATTGCTCTATATAACTTTCTGAATGACAGAAAATCTTGAACTTTTTTTTTCTTTTTTTACCATATTCTGCTTTTTTATACATACATTTATAAAAGTTTCTGTAAATACTTGGACATAAACAACATAGAATTTTTTCTGGCCAACAGACCAACATATAAGTACCAGAGAAGAACAAAAACTCAGTAAGCCACCTTAGCCTCTTTACTTTCCTTCTGCAGCTGCTGGGTGAGGCTGTGCTGCTGGACCGCCTTCCCCAGGCAGCTCTCCTCCAGGTGCTGAACTCTGCCCTTCACCTCATCCAGCAGCCCCTGCAGCTCAGTGGCTCTTTGGGACTGCCGAGCTGCATGACTCATGTGCTTCTGTACCTCCTCTCTGACAACACACATACAGTAAAGTGTCACTTAGTTTGCTCTGTAATGTCCACATATCTTCAAATATCTACGTAGTTCTAATCAAGAGGAAATTAAATATCTGACAGATTATTAGATTTAGAGTCAGAGATGGTTGCATTGAAGGTTACAGAGAATATTGCTGATTTCCATGGTCACCAGTCAGGGGCCCTCAGATGCTGATGAGATTGGGTGACAGGAGGACAGGTGGTCCACACAGAACCAGATCCATTATTAAAGAGCCAGAGCTTGGTACGACACTGAGCCTGCTGTTTGTTCTCTAGCAGGATGAAATCTGCAAACCACACTGATGGTTTCAGTTACTTCATATTGTAGATTTAATATTGGTGAAGAAATGAAGATACAGAAATGTTTTTTGTGCCCATTAGATTTCTAAACCTCATACTGTGGTTACTGACTGAATCATCTACTCTGAAGCAAGGTATTGCCATCAAATCCAAGACAAAATATAGATTATCTGAATAATCTGAAAAAATACAGCTGATTTAAATACAAATTCTACTTATTGGATTTCAAAACTGTGCTTTCTCACAAGTCCTGCCAGAAATTGTAAATGTAATGCCTAATAAAAGTAGTACATCCGCACAACTTGTTTCACGGTGTGTTTGAGGGCATCTGTGCAAACATGGTGCCAATCTCTGTAGCTCCTCCAGAGTTACCAGTGCTCTTCTGATTAAATTCAAAAATACCTGATTTATCTGAAAGGGAAATTAAATGTTACCGCAACTCATATTCAAGTGTCTTCAAAGAGTTGTTATGGATATTCATGCTGTGAGCAAAAAGGATCTCCAGTAGCAGACAGTCAACAAATCTCAAGAAGTTTCTGATTGAAGACTTCTTTTTTGGTTCAGCTAGGATTTTGTCTTGTAGTTGAGATGTTATTTGAGCTTTTGAGATTCTAATCAGTGGCTCCCAGTTGTAAAAAAAAACAACAACAATGTTGCCATGGGTGTGCATCATAGCAACTGTCCTAAAGTAAAAAAACAAACAAAAAAAACACCGGAAGGAATTATTTTTGGGAATTCTCCAAACATTCAATGTTTAACAATTCACAAAAATTATTGCAACAAATTGTACTTCACATATGCCGCTGCCATGAGCGGCACAGTTAGTAGTGAATCACCCAACATGGTGATTTGAGTAACAGACGTACTTGAGCTTGTTGTTAGACTTGACAAGCTCTTGGATGAGCGCCTGTCTCCTCTCAGAGTCCATCAGCATCATCCTCAAAGTCATTCTCAACTCATTCGCTGACTTCTTGTCCAGCAGGACCAAATCTGTGGGACACATGCAGGTCCCATCATCAAGAAATGTGCAAATAAAAACTACATCAGACATTGCAGCTGTGAAACATCCATTTCAGAAACAAATCTCCTCACCTGTGAGGTTCCTATTCTCCACAGGGTCCGCAAAGAACACAGGCTTAAAGCCGTGATGCTGCAGCAGTTTGTTCACATCATCCCATTCTACCTGCTCCTGCTGCAACGCACAGCCACAATCAGCATCAGTCAAACCTGCTCCACATACATAATGAAGATTTAAGTGGTACCTGAAACTGCCCATGGGTCCACAGATAAACATAAGTCTTATTTGTAATGCATGGAAAATGCATTGTTCTGGCTTCTGTACCCATTCTTAAGCCGTATGCAGTTGTTACCAGTTTAACTCCTAAATAAATGTGTTCCAAAGTGTGCAGGAGCTGACCCTCCTGTCAGTGATCCTATCTCTGAGAAAAGAGGTCGCTATTACAACTCAACAATGAAGGAAAGGCGATCCACCAGAGGAGGGGCCCTCCACTCCACACACAAACACACACACACTAAAAGGTGAGGAGGAGTCTTACCGGCTTCATCTTCTTTACATGCCTACAGGAAACAAAGCAAAAACAGCTGGGTCAATACCACAGCCCTCTTTTAGTGACAGTAAGTGATGCCTTCAAGTGGAAAAAGTACAGACCCATTTTTTACCTGGTGCCACTCTAGAAGGAAAACTCTCAACTCTTGGAATGAACCCCTCCAGATCAAATTTTAAGCAGTCACTCTCTTATCAGTTTACCTGATACCATTTACAGTTGACTTATAAGCTGAATTTTAAGGCCATCCCTTTAATGAGCTTTTTACTAACACATTTTAAGTTTTAAAAGAGTGAAACAGACCTTAAATGCGATGCTAACTCCGGCTTCTTGGCACTGCCTCTCGTCAGTTAAGCTAGCTAAAGGAAAACCGAACAGAATAGCATCTGTAGCTAACAATAAAACAGCACATTAGGATATATAATAATGACATAAAACATTTATAAATACAAAACGCCATAAATTACCTTGCCAACCATCTCCGTACAAACTTGCTGCAAAGAGCAGCGCGCTTCCGCAGTTCAAACTGTGCGTCCTGACGCAATTATTAAACAAAAGGACTTTAACCAATCCGATGACAAATCAACAAAACAGCGCTTTATTGCTCCACGACCACAAGATGGCGGTAACATGACAGTTAAACCCATAGACATAATATAAGCATAGACGCCTCATGGACCGCTC